AATAGACCAAATAGGAGAAATTGATTGTTAGGGTTTACATATACTTTAAAGAATTTTAAAACAATGGAAGCTGACCCATGATGGGTTGCTGGGGGTTACTGAACTTTGTATATTGCCATAACTTTTAAAGCTGTAGTTGTGTGCCTTTTGCTGTATACAAACCTCTAATGATGGTAATCCTAGTTCTGAATCTATGCTGGTTAGTTTTAAAATCCTAGTGTCATTCCTGCTGGAATATAGAGGCAGCTCTATACTTCCGGCGCTGTGGGAAGATCGGCAGCTGTGAAAGTGCAGGACCAGAAGTAGTGTGTTGCCTGTACATTATGCCAGGAGTGAGAATAAGATTTTGAAAATGACCAGCGTGGATCCAGTCCTAGGATTACCATCATTAATTATAACTTGTTTTTTTATAGAGCACAGTGCAAAAAAATTAATTCCTGGAGTTCAGCGTTCAAGTAGACACCTCAGTAACATTAAAAGTCTGCACTGTGGACTCATCTACAGTAGTAATTCTGTCACAGACCTCCATAAATGTTTGCAGGGGACACGAACATCCAACAACAATAGACTTTGCTAAATGACAGGCAGCCTATTTCTATCACTAATTTACCTGATAAATATCCCTCATTGTTTTCAAATTATCATTCACTACATTTTTTTTCTATTTTCTTCTTGCCAACTTTAGATTTTCCAGTGTATTGTCAACACAGCAGAATCATTACTTTTTAAAAGCAAGCTCCATATGGTATCCTTGTACAGCATTAACCTCACGCAGAGCTTACAATGACCAAGAAGCCACTTTCAAGCTATGCTGATAATATTCACAGTTATATTATTATTTTTAGATGCTTTGCCAACAAAAAAAAGAAAAACTTGTACGACATCACTGCTTGTAAGGTGCCAAGTTGTGAATTAAAGTCCCTTCAAGACACGGAAGTCCTGAATGCAGATTAAATAGATCCTGTCAAGTCTCTAAAATCAGCACTGCCCTGCAATAGATGGCATTGTAATTGCTCGTCTCCTGGTGACCTGGTTGCTTTATCCAACCCTACATCACTGCAGAACACCAATGTAGGGGTCAGAGGAAGGAATGATGGTGTGTGTCGGAAGTCCAAGACATCTGACACTCCCGGAAGTATCATATGCTGAAACAACTTGATGAGCATGCAGAGCTGGAATGGAAGAGAGATAGAAGAAACAGGCTACAGGAAAGTATACTCGGTCTTCTACTGCAGGAGTGTGTTGGTTTTCAAAGCAGAAAATGTCCATCTTCAACCCTGCTCCAAGCTCATTTCCTCTTAGGGGGCGTTAACATTTGATCCAGCCCGCCCACGGCTGTTTTTTCAAATGATCTCATTGCTGTGGCCGCGCTTCCTCTCTTCGTGCACAGCTGTGTTTTGTCAGCTCGTGCAAGCTGGCATTTGTGAGCGGGAAGTGAGAAGGCAGCAGCAAGAGACGGACTCAGCCTCCCTGCACATTCAGTGCTATTTCCCTTCTCTCATCAGCGATCCCCAGTAATTAGGATGTCAGCATAACACAGGGGGAGAGAGAGAGGATAAAGAGCCATCCCTCTCTCCATCATTTACCAGAAATGGGCAAGTCCATATATGGTGAATGATGTCACTGGGTATCCCTGCAGACTGGCAAGCATCCGATCAGCAGGGATCCCCAGTGACATCATTCATCATATATGGACTTGCCCATATGTGGTAAATGATGGAGAGAGAGAAGGCTCCTTCAGTCGGGGGCGCATACGTGCAAAAACGACGATTGCGCCCATTACGCCGCACATGTTACATATCGCCGCGAACGTCACAGTGAGAGCAATAAGTCTAGGGCCATCAATCACTGATAACACTAAACTGATGAGCGGTAAAAGCTTTTAAAGTGTCGCCTATGGCCAATTTTGGGTATGGTAGTTTTCTGCGATTTCGCGGGTGCGCACAATTTTAAAGGATGACATGTTTGGTGTCTATTTATCCGAAGTAACCCTGACTTTTATATTTTACCAAAAAACTGGGTCATAATAAATGTTTCCTAACATAATGTAAAAAAAAAATATTTTTTTCAAAATTTTCTTTAATTTTTCATAATTATAGTAAAAAATAAAAACCCCAGTGGTGATTAAATACCACCAGTACAGCGTTGCATGACGGAATAAACTTCAGTCAAAGTACTGCAGCGCTGAATACTGAAAAATGGCCAGGAAGGGGGTCTAAACACCTGGTCTTGAAGTGGTTAAATAAGGGTTTACAGCCTTACTGTGCATTTTGGCTAATTAGAGTAAATTACATAATTTACTTGTTTAGCCTAAGGAATGCATTAATAAAGAAAAGATAGAACCATATAGTTCTCCTTTAACCTGTTTATTAATGATATTGGGGAAAGTGTTAATAGTGTTTGTGTTTGCAGATGATACTAAAATTGGGAGGGTAATAGACAGGAGCTTAGTCATTATAACACTTCAAAAGGACCTGGATAAAATAGGGGAGTGGGCAACTACATGGCAGATGACGTATAATTTTGTAAAATGTAAAGTAATGCATTTTTGGGTTAAAAAATAGATAAGCGGAATACACATTGATGGGTACTGAGACTAGGGAAGTCAGAAATGGAAAAATATTTGGGGGTCATAGTCAACTGCAGATTGAACAATAGCATGCAATGTCAGGTTGCAGCTTACAAAGCTAGCAGAGTACTATCTTGTATTAAAAAGGGAATGTAGTCTAGAGACAAAGCAATCATTTTGTCACTTTATAGATCACTTGTTCGGCCTCATTTTGAGTATACAGTTCAATTTTGGTCACCGATCCACAGAAAGGATGTCCTGAACTGGAGACAGTCCAGAGAAGGGCAACAAAACGAATTAAGGGGCTGGAGGACGAAAGCTATGAGACAAGGTTGCGAAATTTAAACTTGTTCACGCTGGAAATTAGATGATTAAGGGGGGACATGATTTTGATGTACAAAATGTTTAGTGGTGATAGCAACATCAGCAATAAACATTTTACTGTAAATTCCCTAAAAAAGACTAGAGGCCACCACCTAAAATTGGAGAAATGATTTAACCACAAAAGGAGTAAGTGCTTCTTTTCAGTGAGAGTGGTTACATTTTGGTACGCTCTGCCACAAGCAGTGGTATCAGCAGAGAGTATTGAATCGTTCAAAATAGATACCTTCCTCAGAGACCATAACATACAGGGTACAGGTACTCTTAAAGACTAAAACACAAAAGGGACTCCTCTATACACACGTGTGCATAAACACACACAGTCACACAAAGGTTGAACTTGATAGACCTGTGTCTTTATTGAACCTCAAATACTATGCAACTATAGATACTCTATATATGAGTTACTACGTCCGCAATCATGAATGAACAGGAAGTGATGAAAAGCGCTTCCCGGCCAATGGGCTTCCGGATTTGCTAGCTTCCTGACCAATCGGGCAGCGCGCCATTGCACGCTACCCAGCTTCCTGATTGGCCGGGAAGTGACGAGAGAGCATGGAGCCGTTTCCTGGCCAATCAGGAAACCGGGCAGCGTGTAATGATGGGCTGCCCGGCTTCCTGATACAGGAAGTACTTGTGCTAGGTATCGGAGCATTTGGGCGAGTACGAGTACTGACCCAAATACTCGGTATCGGCACCGATACTAGCATCGGTATCGGTGCATCCCTACTTTTACTCCTCATGAACCTCATGAACTACCCAGATTGGACCCCCAACAAGCAAAATTAACTGTCAATAACTCTTAACTTTTCGCACATTATCGATATGGGCGACAACATCCCTTTGCAACTTCCAAAGCGATATCTGTATGGCAAAAAAACAACTTCTAGCTAAACCATTACACTGATTCGCAAGATAATATTACTCATGTATTATGTATTTTGCTAACTTCTAATGTATCCAAAACTCCCATTGTTTTTATTGTTGTGCAAACCTATCTAGAACACAAAATAAATCTCTGTACATTTCCTTGCTTACTGAAGAAAAAAATATGTATTGTAATAGAACATTATACACTTGTGTTTAGGACTTTTAAAATATATATTTAATTAGAATATGTTCCTGACAATTTTATATATAATGGCCCCTGGATGTTATTGTATTGTCTTTAGCAAAAAATCAGTTGCTAATATCTAAAAAGATCTGCAGGAATCGTGTATTTCTGCCACAATTACTTTGTTATTAATTATTATGTTACTTAAAGGGAACAGGATTATAAAAACCTTTATTTAAACCAAATAATGCTTATGTACATTGTTTCCAAACCATCATCAATGTGGTACTGATCTCCAGAACCTGGCTGCAGACAAGGAACAACTTCTATCCAACTGGGTGATTTGGCAATCCAACCATCTGAATATCAAGTGTGGCGCAGTTACAAAGAAGGTAATGGGCATAGCAGGACTTTAGTGTGGAGCATACATTGAGGCATGCAGCAGAATTCAGAGGATGCTGGGCCACACCTGGAAAGATGTGGACAAACGTTAAAGGTACAAGCTAGGGATGCACAGATGCCAAGTATTTGGGCGAGTACTCACCCAAATGCTCCCGACACCGGAACTTCCAGTATCAGGAAGCCTAGGGGGAAGTCATTACATACCGCCCGGCTTCCTGATTGGCTGGGAAGCCGGCTCCATGCTCCTTCGTCAGAAGCCGGCCAATCAGGAAGCCGGGCAGCGTGTTATGACCCGCCGCCTGCCTTCCTGATTGGTTGGGAAGCCGGCCAATCAGGAAGCCAGGCAGCAAGTCATTAACCGCTCCCCGGTTAATGACTTTCCGCAATAACATGTTTACAGTATTGCATGTACATTTTAATTTTATAAAATCACATTACATACAATAATATTACTGATATTCTGTGTTATCTTGTTGCATTTTCACCAAGTATTTGTTAATAGCATTCTACAGAACACTAGCACAATAATAAAATACAGAATGTATATAGACACAGCATGCCACACACATCACTAATGACACGCAGCACAATTACCTCTTGTCGATTCATCCTCAATTGGTTGTTTGAACAAGGTTATATCTTTGAAAGTACAAAGAAATAACACAACCTTTTCGTGCTCATTCCGTATTGGTGCAATTTGCATATAAAACCAAACCGGAGTTCCTGCAGGAAGGAAAGAATTAGTAGTGATGCTGGATTACACAACTGCAAACAGAGAGAAAAAAAGGTGTTTACAGCTATAAATTACATTATGAAACAAGCAAAAGCACTGTGGCCATATACATTAAATACATCTGACATTTAGATCAAGTAAAACTGCAGTGCCTGTATCTGTTCCTTAAGATTCTATGGTAAAAGTGCCAACAATGGGGGAGGCCAGCAAAGTTTTACAAGCTCCCTCTTGCTGAGACATTCAAAAAGGTATCAGAAAAATGGGAACACTTCTTAAGTTGCCACCGGCTAGAATATCAACAAAATGGTGACCAATCGTCTTCTGGGTAATATGAAATAGGATTAGTTGGTCACATACACAGAGGTGCATTTATCTTATCTTAACAACTTTAATTTATTAATGTATCACATATAGTCACTCACAGTAATACGAAATAGGGAGAACACCTGTCACGTATTAATTAATTTTAACTTCTGCATACTAAATACTTGTGTACTCCTTGGATAAGCCAATGCTGTGTAGAGCAAGGATATGTGCAAAGTGCGGGAACCTACCGAAGACTAACAGATATCAACTCACATAATATAGGAAACAAATAGCTTACATTAAGAAATGGCTACTTAAAAAGAACACCATGAAAAAACAACTAGACATTTATCAGTTCAAGTAGGATATATTTGCCAAGCCTGCCAATGTCCTGATAAAAGGTACAAGTTATAAACATTACATATACATAGGTACCTGTGAGGCTGTCAGTTTGGGCTTGCCTTTTCTGTACTGAAATCTCAACCAGTGTTGTCAGCAATTCCCTACTCCTCCTTCCTCCCACCCCTCTCCAAATGCATACATTGGTTGCCTTCCGAGCACGACAATGCAATGCTGCTGCCTTCACCCCTAGGTGCTGCCCCACACTGTGGAGATGTCGTTCTGGGGGCATGCTTATACCAATAGGAACTGAGCTCCCAACAACTGCTCCTGCAAGAAATTTACAAGCTTGCTGATGTTGTCATAGGGAGTTAAAAACGTTTTTGCTTGCTACAGGAACAAGGTAAAAGGAAAAAAACAAAAGAGAAACAACAAAAGAGTGCTGGGACGTACTTTAGAGCAGGACTTCTTAATGTTTGGGTTGCGACCCCACATGGGGTCACGCAGCTGAATGTGGGAGGTTGCGAAGAAAAATCTGAATCCCCAATCACCGGCCCCCCAGAGCTCCAGGACCGCCAGCACCCCCCCTCTTACCAGGTCACTCTCACTGCGCCTGGAACAAGTGGGGGATCGTGCAGCGTGAATGATCTTCTGGCACAACTGCTAGTGAGGGAAGTGGGGATAATCCTCCCCCCTCACTATATTGCCCGCCACCGCACGACGGAAGATTATTCACGCAGGACCAACAGTGACTACATGCAGAGGTGAGGTGGGTCTCAAGAGGGTGAAGTTTAAACAGATTATTAAAATTGAAAGATGAAGTTGTTATATTTTTGACTGAGCAGAATTCCAATTTTGTTAATTTTTTTCATAATGACTTATGGATTTCAAAACTGTGTTATTTCGAAAAACTCAATGATTTAAGCATGTCGCTTCAAGGAAAACATTTTAACATGTTTATGTTAAAAGATAACATTTAAAAGTTTTACTAAGAACATATGGAGAAATAGGGTGGAAAATGGTTCTTTAGAAATGTTTACAGCTACAGGAGGATTTTATAACTGAAAATAACCTTACCAAAGATTTAATTGTAAGAGTTATAATTGATCCTCCGAAGTGTCTGGAGACACAGTTTGAAGAGAAGTATTTCTGAAAGTTTGATTCTGAAAAACTAAGTTGAGTTCATAAACCATACTCAATTGAAATTTTAAAAAGTCAGTCATCTCCCATTAGAATTTCAATAATTTGTTTTTAAGTTATCAAGCGACACAGGTTTAAAACTTGAGTTTCCTAAAAAAAAATCATTAAATTATTTTTGGCTTGGAATTAGGACAGAATTTCCAACCATTTCTGAAAAGGCCCTTAAACATACTTCTGCTATTTTGTACTAAGTATTTATGTGAAGCGGCGTTCGGTTATAAAATCGAAATATCGATCAACTCTGGAAAATGTTGAAAATTCTCTATGATCTGCAGTATCAAATATTCTGCAAAGATTGAATTCTTTATGTAAAAACAAGAACATCCATCTCATTAGTATGCAAATTTGATTTAATCTTTACTAAATGGTAACATTATATGTATACCAAAGAATTGTTTTAAATAGGGGTGCACCGATACCACTTTTTTAAGACCGAGTACGAGTACCGATACTTTTGATCAAGTACTCGCCGATACCAATTACCGATACTTTTTCTTAAAGGGACAGGTCACATTTTTTCTAAAGCAATACAAACTAATGCTTTAAGGTCACTTTCTTAATATTATGATTCATGAGATGACGAGGGAGCGTGACGCCGGCTTCCCGGCCAATCAGAATGCCGGGCGCTGCGTCATTAAACGGCGCCCGGCTTCCTGATTGGCCGGGAAGTTGGCTCCATGCTCTGTCATCACAAGTGACGAGAGAGCATGGAGCCATTTCATGGCCAATCAGGAAACCGGGCAGCGTGTAAAGATGTGCTGCCCGCCTTCCTGATACAGGAAGTACTCGTGCTAGGTATCGGAGCATTTGGGCGAGTACGAGTACTCACCCAAATACTCGGTATCGGTGCATCCCTAGTTTTAAATTAAATTTCTTTATGATTTATTATCGGTAAATGTTTGATTTGTATTCCTTTTCTATATACCCGGGGGCATGTAAACATTTCCTCGGGCGAAAAGGGATCACGCGTGGAAAAAGTTTAAGAAGCCCTGCTTTAGAGAATTAGAAGGAGGTTTTTGGGCAAATTTGGGTAATGCCTAGCATACACATACATTTTGTTATATAAAGGTCCAGACAATTAAAAGGCTCCAGTGAGTGAAGGGGAGACTTAGGCAAGTATAGCTGCATGTTAATGAAAAATAATTAAAAAAAATAAAAATCCTACAGAATGGGATAAAGGGAGTTGAAGGTAGAGATGAGAGGGGGGTCACATTTTGCCTGGAGTGGGGCTTTAAAGCATACAATCCCAAAACATCTAATCAGTGAGAAAATAACCAAGATAAGCAACCTTCATTACTCTGAATCACAGCGCATTCATGCAACTGAACATTTATATTTACTCACTAAATCCTTAAGTAAAATCAATATTAAAGAAAGAGATCTTTATAATCCTTAAATAAAAAACTTCTAAGTTAACATGATGGGGATTTTAAAATCCACCGTTGAGGTCACTCTAAAAAAAAGACAACATAGTTGAAAAATTTAAATGCTTAAAAACATTCAGGCCCCATTCCCACTAAGCGATTTTTGCCGCGTGATATTGCGAGAAGTCTTCGGCTAATGCTATTCAATGGAGCTGTCTTAGCTCCATGTCGCCCCTTTGCTCCAGCAGGACCCTTTTTTCGGCGGATTTTGCGCGATTTTTCTATTTTTTAATGGAGCCCGGCGGTGAAGGTCACGCTACCGTCGCTGGATCGTCACCCCGAAAGTCGCGCTATCCCAGCCGCACGGATCCGTTGCAAAAGGTATGTCGCTTAGTGTGAATGGGGCCTTAAGTCTATCATAAATGCACACTGATGTTTCGCTACCTTCACGTGTTGCTGACTTCCTATTTAAAAAGTCCCTCCACATTGTAGTGGTGTTTAATTATTTTAATTATATTATACTATAGTTTTTATTCCTTTTTATTTCTTTTTTAAATGTATGTGAACTTTATATCTACTTTTAGTATGTTTGGCATCATGTTTCCCCACATAATGTTAAGCAAATAGTTTTTTTGTGAATCTGTTGAAAAATTTGTTAACCTGGAGATCCTGCCAAGAACAACATTTTTTGTTGCAGGCAAACAATGCTCAGCCATTTCCTCTCAATTAGCAGCAGCACTGCCAGCCTGTCCTGGGAGCCCCTTAAGTTGCCCACCGAGCTGCTGCTTAATGGGAGGTAGTGGCTAAGCGCTATCACTATGAAACAAGAAGTGCTATACCTGGTAGGATGTCTAGGTAAGAAAATTTGTAATCGATTAGAGAGAAGAGGCCAAACATATTGAAAAAAGGTTTAGATACACTTTAAGGTTCACATCCAGGCACTACCCAAATGTAACCCCAAACCCACCGCTTTCCCTCTCCCAGCATTCATTTTTCTTTTACCTTGTCCCTGTAGAATTGAACAGCTGAGTTTTGTGGGCAAGCTCTAAGAAGTCAAGGCAGCAGCAGTTTTTTGCTGGGGAAGAAATCAATCTTTGCGTGTGAAGAGAGGAACAGAAAGGGGTGGAGGATAGGTGACATTCTATAGTCCAGCAGGCAGGGCTAACAATGCTATTTAGTGTTGTTAGGACAAACAGAAAATTAGGTGCACGCTGGATTTCTGGCAAACTAACAGGTATTTCTCTTCACTTAAAGTATTTTTAAATGGTTAAAACATGAGGATATACATATGCATAGTATATTTGCCCTGACATACCCTTTAACTTTATTACTATAATGAAGGGGGCTGACGAGTCCTCTACTATTTTTTTTTTTTCTTTTGCTGTAACAGTCCATGTTTCTTTTTTTTAATACATTCTTCATTTAGAATTTTTACATAATAATACAAAAACAAACTGCCACCTGGACAGCATATCCAACATAGACATTTCATCTTAATATATGCATTTAAATAAAATATAATTAAAATTTTATATAGCATATCTCCTTTTATTCTACCAATTTATTGTACCAAAAATCCTCTACTTCATAGTATATAGGGAGTGACAAGTACTCTTTTTTACTTTTTTAGACATCTGAGGTCTATAACTGCTGAAATTTCTCCTCACTGCCAGAAGTGTTAAAGGTGGTGCGCTCCACAGAGATGCAGTTGCTCCCTATCCCCAGCCCTGGCATCAACCAAGGTCTTGGCAGCAGTCAGGGAAGCCTGAACGCATATCATGCAAGGGTTGCCTGGCTGCTGCCAGGACCATAGCTGATGTCACGGCTGGGAAGAAGCAGCTATGTCTCTGTGTAGCAAACAAGCTCTGACACTCCCAGAGGTGCAGGAAGTGCTTGAAAATTTAAAGTCTACTTTCAGCAAGGAATTGAAGCAATACTAAAACATAAAGCCAGCCAGGCTCACAGGTATGTAAATACTTTTACTCAGTATGTTTATCTGGTTAGGAATAAAGTGGTTATGTGTTCTCTTTAAGCACCGTATTCATGTCTCTTTTTTGTTGCCTCACAAGCCATTTAGACTCAAGCTTGTATTATATAACAAACAAACAAAAATTCCTCTGGCAGCTGTGTTTAGTTCCCCTCCCAGGTGGTCTTCTAAATGATGCAAAACAAGTATTTCACAAGGGAGAACACCACACATGTTGTGAAGCAATCCTGATATTTATAGATCATGATTCATGGCACACATTAAACTATATGATAAAAATATTTGTAACTGCCAACTTAGCAAATTGATTTGTTGGCATCTTCCTAGTTCTTCCTTAAAGCTGAACTCCTGGGAAAATTCAAAGCTACCCTTGCAGTGGTATTCCCCCACACTGCAGGGAATAAATGTAATTTTTTGTCTTTAGTATCTTTCAATGCAGTTTTACTTACCTTATCCATTGCTTCAGCAGGCTTTCTCCTCTCAGTGATACCGGTTCCAGGAAGCCGCTTCTCTTTGGCGCCCAGTCAGTCGTAGGCACTCTGATGTCTTCGCATACAGTGCAGGACCAGAAGTGCTGCATATAAGAGAGGATGTCAAGGGCCAAACCTCAACCCAGAACGATAGAGAGAGGAGGAAAGCACCAGCTGCCTGGGAAGCAAGGTATAAGGCAAGTAAAGCTGCTTTTTAAGGCTACCCTAGACAAAAAGCAGCAAGGGAGTTCCACTGCAAGGGTAGTGTTACATTTTCCCATTAGGTTCAGCTGTAGAAAGAAAATCTTAAAGTCAAAAATTCACATTTTCCCAGCAGGGTGGATTCTGTTTCGTAGCTATGGGTGCAGCACCCTGCACATAGCGCTTTGCTTTTTTACAAATTTTATTTAATGGGATAATATTGGTGCCGTATCTTGAGAATACTTAAAATTCAAAAGCAATTCTATCAATCTGGTAAACATGAGATGATGATGATATACATACTGCTCTTCTTGTACAAGAGGACTTCAAAACAGTTTGACTCGTAGTTATCAAATGTCTGCCTAACTTTTTCAATCGTCTTCTTGTCCGTCAGTTCACCATACATAAAACTGCAAAACAAAGGAATATTTCAAATAGAATTACTTTATCTTTCAATTTTAAATAATTTATGAATTAGAAAGAATAGAGACGAAACAAAAGGAGGGCCTGTGCCAGAACAGTTTTATATTCCTTGTTTGGTTTGAACAACTCTTTGTAAAATCAGCAGAGCAAGTAAAGCTATTAATCACTTTGCAGTATATGATAATATTATCAAAGGCTACATTGAAAGCATATCATTTAGTAGACATGCCAGGATAAGTGAAAATAAAACTAGTAAATACACAGATGAATAGCTTTATCACTTATGGATCTGGCTCAACCTATTCCAACCTCCATGTGAGACTGGTCTGGTCTAGAAATTGGTGCACCAGTCACTGCAATATTGGAGCCAGAAAGAGTAAATAATGTTTACCATTACCTTTATTAGTGCAGGGTGCCCTCAGGGGTGGGTCCATAACACCCTGCACTCGCAATATGTCCTCAGAGTTAGACTCAAATTGTACTTTAAAACAAAAACATACCTCACAACTTTCTGAGCTGATCAAGGGGAATACCTTTATCTTAGCTTAAAGTGCAACAGCAAATGGCATACCTCTGTCATGCCTTCCAGCACCCCACCTCTCCCCCAAAAACAGACCATGATAAATATGGAAAAAATAAATGGCTAACCCTGCAAGTTCTGTTTTCACCACAAGTTTTCCTTTATACTGACTTTGTGATGTAACAAATGCATAATACAGAGATTGGGCAGAAGTAGTATAACACTGTATAATGTAGTACAACACTTCTGATTATCAAAATACTACATTTCTCTCTATACAACAGCAAACCAAAAAAAGAAGAAAAAAACTGAGAAGGAAAGATTGGGATTTCGTTCCAAACCAGGGATAGTCCCTCCAAATGAGGGACATTTGGGAACTATAAAATAAAACAAAATCACCATTAACAGTCTCTCCTGTTGCCCATATTAACCAATTAACTTTCCTTTTGCAGCACTGTGCCTACCACTAAGTAGATGAAGCTCTAGCAATATTGATGATCTAAGTTGAACACATAATTCTAGTGTTTACTGTAGATGGCAGTTTACACTTGTGGTGTGTGTTTATGAGATTTGGTTAATGAATCCCTAGCCATTCGTGTTTACATATCTGATGTTTGTGCATTGATTCTTGGGCACTGGGAACATTTCATGCAGCCGTACAAATTAATTGGGCATTGCATTTGTGCTCCAGGACATGATGTTTACATGAGAGCCTTTATTCTCATATATAAAGTATACTGTGAATAAATTATATTGATTTTACACTTCAGTAAAACCTCACAGTTTCTCCACATTTATATTGTATGTAACCAAAACATAACATGAAATACTACAGCACTAAACAGGAGTAAGTATATTACCTATAATGTAAAGAATAAGCAGAGGCTTTGGTCTAAATGGCAATTCCACTCAAAATAGTTAAAGCCCCACTGCAGCCAAAAAAATAATAGCCCAGCACAAGATAAAATTAAAAAAAGCAAATGGAATAATCACCACCTCGCAAATCAGAGCTAGGCCTCATCCTGCCTGAAGCCCTGTGTTATTACACCCACTTCCTGTGAGCCCAGGGAGTCATGGACACCCAATGGGCTCACAAGAAAATTATGCATATCATTTCACAGCTGCGTACTCTGCAGCATGCAGGATCCACCCACCTCAGAAGGAAGATAAAGAGGACATATAATGTTTCCTTGAGAATTGTAGCCTCACTGAGCTAATAAACTTCAAGTGGGCCTGTGGCTAGGCTACAGACATTGAAAGTTTACTGTACATGATATTACAAGCAGTAAATGGGCTTTAAAACAATTCAAAGACCTCTGTAGCTGTAGGTACTATGGAATAATGCATCCTCAAAGCTTATAGCTCAGAAACAATGAGGTCCTTCGAGTTTACGCTCTCAGCAGCTTAGTTTACTCTGCTACCCCTCCGCTCCATTTAAATTAGAGATTGGAAGGCTGTTGTGGCCCTAATGGGAGAGAGCAGGAGAAGCGGAGCTACTGAAAGAAATACTTTGGTTCTTTAACAATAACATAGTCATATAAATTCTGTGACCTCTCTAGTTCTAGGCTGTTCACTTAGGCACATCAGCCCCTGCTACAATCTCTAGCCTTGCGAGAATACATGGGGACTATTGAAACTCATAATTTCTGAGAATGGAGGCTTTTTAAGCACTGCTTAATGCATGAAAGTAGGAGGGGCTTAAAGGATAGGTCCAACTGTAAATATTAATAAATAAAAGAAAGCACACTACTGCTGTATTAGTTATAGGCAAGACCCATCCTCTCTTACCCCAACAGCACCAAGATCTACTCTGTTCTTGCCTTAATGGCCTCCAGTATCTGTTGTCAGCCTCCTCTTAAAACGAGTGACCCCCCCTGTTGCCTGTGCACCTAACTCAGGTACTACCCTCAGGTAGAAGCAGTACATTTTTAAGGCACTGCTCCTCTTAGATCTCTGGACACAGGTATAAGTTGCCCAGAATGTTTGCAAACATCCTGTGGTAGCCACAGTGAAATAACTGTGGTCCTGAAGATCGAGAGAATGTCAGCATTTATTTAAAAGTGTAACCAGACATTCTGGAACTGCAGCAAATCACATGATATTATTGGATCTTTCCATTTCCCACATACTGTGGCCTCCACAACATGTTTACAAACATTCTGGAGACTTCAGCAATTCCAATATTGAACTGGCAGTAGAATACAAATTCCGGCATTGCCATATATTTTCCGGCAAGTTCGAAGGTATATTTGTGACTAACTATAAAGTTTCAATCTTGCGGTCTGATCATTGGGGGGAGAGGAGACTAAGAAAATGCTTCCTTGTGCCTGCAGCAGACTCTTGGCATCACTTCATCCTAGGCAAACTCACTGACCGGAGCTTAAGCTTTTTGATTATAAATAGCAGGTTTGTTTTTTTTGTGTTTTTTTACTGAAAATTAAATTTTATTATATTTATCCCCATTTATTAAAAGAGGTCAAACATGAAACACACATTATGGGAATGCAATAAATTCTGCTTTATACTAATATGGCCCCAGAGAAAAAAATCTACTTTTTATAACACCAAGGGTCCTTGGTGTTATAAAAAGGTTAAAAAAACCAAAAACAAAAACAAAAACAGAAGTCAATCCATTTGAAGCTTAGTACTGATATACTGCAGTACATCAAAAGGTATTAAACAGTCACATATTGATTGCTCTGCTCACTTATAAGCAAGTTATCCCTGCTGAGAAACAATAAACACACAGAAAAGAAAAAGCTGTACGAAAAATTGTGCATGCCCCTAAATAATTGTGTTTTGATGGGAACCTCCATGGAAAACATAAAAAGCAATTTGAAGCTTCAAGATCAAATTTAGGGAAAAGATGTGCTTGCAATGTGCTTCTGTCCCTCTACAAGTAAAATCAGCTAGCTAACGGGTCCTTAGCTTCACTAACAGCACTCAACAGACAGACCTTGAACAGGAACTTTCCCCCTCTTTAACCTTCTTGTCAAGGAGAATTCAGAGCCGTTAGCCGAGTGGAACACGTGCCAATTTGGCACTAATATGCAGAGACCTATATTGATTTGTAACGTACTTAGCATTGCATCAAATCTGCACACATTGCCGGTATCACATCCTACGTGTACAACTTCCAAATGGAAATAGAGAAATACTTCAAAGCTCAACTCTAGGCAGATATAAAAAGGTACAGATTAATGCAACTCTATACTTATTAACATTGCTGAATGTATTATTTTTTTTAATGCAAGGGGTGTGAGTAACTGGATTTGACTTGTTTACACCCTGTACAGAAGAGCACAGAGAGGGAGAGATAGAAATAGCACAAGTAGCCAATCAGGCGTGCTGCAGTGCAAGGAGGATTATGAGAGGAGAAGAGAGCAAAATAAACAGGTTGTTTCTCTCATCACTATTCAGTTACAGGGTGAAGGCGGGGAGGAGACCTAAGGCCTCATTCACACTGCCGCACGTACGTGTGTATTGTACCATATGCAACACATGCAAATAAATGGCTCCATACACATAGCCGCGTATGGAGCCGTATATTTGCGTAGCTTATATATGCACAAAAACAGAATGGAACAGAGATGCGCCCGGGCAGCGTATTTCTGCGTATTTACGCGCACATACGCGTGTTTACGTGCATATACGCGCATACAGCACATTAAAAATTCCATTACAAGTGATGCATTCTGGGATTGCATATAGTGCACGCATATACGAAAATACGCTCGTATATACGCGCATAGACGCGTATATATGCAATATACAATTTTGCTTGCGTTGTGTGTGAATGAGGCCTATAAGTCAACATGAAAGTGCAGCAGAGAAAAATCAGGTCCGCTGCCCAGGTCCACAGAGCTGTATATATTCTAGAACTGGATGGAAAGAAATACAACTCTTTTGGCAGGTAAAACAGCTCTCATATGTGCATTTCATCTGTGTGTTTAACTGTTTAGTTAAAATATCACTAAGCTAGTAAAAAAGCTAATCAATTTCAAAATGACCTTATTTTTGAGACACAGTGTAAAATCTACATAAAAACAGAAAATAATGATTTGCAAATCTCTTAAACCCATGTTATATTCACAATAGAAAATAGAAAACATATCAAATATTTAAACTAAGAAAAATTACCATTTTAAGAAAAAAATAACGTCATTTTGAAACTGATGGTAGCAACACTTCTCATAAAAGTTGGGACAGGTCAACAAAAAGCTGGCAAAATAAGTGGTACTTACAAGGAAGAGGTGGAAGAACCTTTTGCAACTAATTAAGTGAATTAGCAACAATCAGTAACATGATTGGGTATAAAAAGAGCATCTTAGAGAGTCAGAGTGTTTCAGAAGTAAAGATGGGCAGAGTTTGATCAATCTGTGAAAAGCTGCATCTAAAAATTGTTGAACAATTTCAGAATGATGTTCTTCAACGTAAAATTGCAAAGACTTTAAATTTATCACTATCCACAGTACATAATATCATCAAAAGATTCAGAGAATCTGGAGAAATCTCTATGAGCAAGGGACAAAGTCGAAATGCAATTTTGAATGCCCGTGATCTTTGGGTCCTCAGACGGAACTGAATTAAAATTAGGCGTGATTCTGTTATGGACATTACTGCATGGGCTCAAGAACACAGTTTACCATGCCATCCAAAAATGCAATTTGAAGCTCTCTCATGCAAATAAGAAGCCAAATCTGAGCATGCCACTGTCTTCTCTGGGCCAAAGCTCATTAAAAATGATCTGCTGCAAAGTGGAAAACTGTTCTGTGGTCAGACATCTCGAAATTTGACATTCTTTTTGGTAACCATGTGAGCTGTGTCCACTAGACTAAAGATAAAAAGGAACTTCCAGCTTGTTATCAGCGCTCAGTTCAAAAGCCAGCATCTTTGATGGTATGGGGGTGCATTAGTGCATATGGAATGGGCAGCTTGCATATCTGGAAGGTGCCATCAATGCTGAAAAATATGTGACAGAGAAGACCCAGGACTGTTGAGCAGTTAGAGTCCTATATCAGACATTTACAGGGTGTTGTTAAAAGAAGAGGGGGCATGCTACAGAGTGGTAAACATGGTCCTGTCCCAACTTTAAGACATGTTGCTGCCATCAATTCCAAAGTTATCTTATTTATTTTATTAAAATGGTACATTTTCTCAGTTTAAACATTTAATAGGTTTTTGATTTTGAATAAAATATGGGTTTATGAGATTTGCAAATTCTGATTTTGTGTAGATTTTACATAGCATCCCAACCTTTTTGGAATTGTCGCTTCTAATATACACTAAAAATATATAAATGCATTATACATGAATTTATGAAATTGATAAATTAATAACAACAAATGGACAATGAAACTGACAAATATATACAATCTGCTTTGTCCCATAATTTAGATCTTAAAATTTGAGATCTTGGTGCACAGACTGTAATGATATGGAACAGGATGCTTTCAATGCTGATAAGTTAATGTATATGTAAACCCAGCCACTAAGATCTCATATAAATGGTAACTTTAAAAATTATTTCAAAAGTCATTTTCGATGCGTTTCATTCTGCAGCTTTTACGGAAAAAAAATACCTAGTGAGCCTTTCAGGAAGGTTTTTTCGGAGTGTTTGGTTAAGGAAAGGATTGAGTTGCATTTTAAAGACATTCTAAATGTTAAGGTATATGTTACAGGGTTAGGTTACGGGTTAAGTTTAAGTGTTATGGGAAGGTTGAATATTCATTTTAGAGGGTAGGTTAAGTTCAAGAGTTTGGGTGCAGAGACGGTAAACTTTAGGGTTGGGTTTAGGTTAGGATCAGGGCATTTGGACAAAACTTTGTTAAACTTCAGTGCCAAAAGCCCAAGCCAAAAACAACTGTGGCCATCTCCTAAAACAATGCATCATCAGTCTCTGGTGTACAAAATGCTGATGGGCGATTCAGCTCTCTTGCATCTATCTAAACCAAGACATTATTTCATTTTGAAATGACCGTTTAAAAGTGATGAGCTGCTAAAAATCACTTAACATAATGATGCTCATCTAATTTCAAATTGACCAGGGTATCTTCCGGCATCCTATGGGGCTCCCTACACTAGGGAGTAGTTTGGCTACTTTAATAAGATGAAATGTTGGCTTTCACTCTGCATACCACATAAGAAGCAAATCTATATGTTAACTAACAGGAAAATATATATATATATAGTGCAATATAAATGGGTAAGCCGTATTAGTCCAGTAGACAAGACGTAAAAAAAAAAAAACCCGCAGTATTGCAGTGTGCAATGATACCTTTCTTATTGGACTAACAAAATATATAAAAGACAAGCTTTCGAGAGTGAACCTCTCTTCTTCAGGTCAGAAGCAATACAATAGAAGCAATACATGGTTTGGGCCCCTTTTGCAGAACTTACTGCAATTACTTTTGCACGATATTCTAATTATTCGAGTTTCACCTGTATACACACACACATACACATACAGTGTATATAACATACATGTACCGACATGCATATACACACACACACACACACACACATTTATACACACATACATATACACTCACCGGCCACTTTATTAAGTACACCTTGCTAGTATCGGGTTGGACCCCCCTTTTGCCAACAGAAGTGCCTTAACTCTTCATGTGATAGATTCAACAATGTGTTGGAAACATTCCTCAGAGATTTTGGTCCATACTGACTTGATAGCATCACAGTCCAAAGTGTGCCAAGAAAATATCCCCCACAACATTGCACCACCACCACCAGCCTCCATCCATGCTTTCATGTTTACGCAAAATTCTGACCGTACCATCTGACTTTTTCAGCTGAAATCGAGACTCATCAGACCAGGCAACGTTTTTCCAATTGTCCAATTTTGGTGAGCCTGTGCGAATTGTAGCCTCCTTTTTTCTGACCACTCTCTGTAAACCTGAGTGATGGTTGTGCGTGAAAATCCCAGTAGATCAGCAGTTTTTGAAAATACTCAGACCAGCCCGTCTGGCACCAACAACCATGCCACGTTCAAAGTCACTTAAATCCCCTTTCTTCCCCATTCTGATGCTCGGTTTAATGTTCAGCAAGTTGTCTTCACCACGTCTAGATGCCTAAATGCATTGAGTAGCTGCCATGTGATTGGCTGATTAGCAATTTGTGTTACCAAGCAATTGAACAGGTGTACCTTATAATATGGTGTACCTAATTGCAATGGGAACGTGGTAGTCTGAGCTGAAAAAAAGGACGGCATCCAGTACTTTTTTTTTTTTTCAGCAGAACGGGATTTGAGGCGGCACAACCGCCTCGCACCCCGCTATGCCCATTGGACGGAATGAAATGTCACTTGTAACAAGTATTTCAATAAAGTTCTAAAAAAAAAAAGTACACAGTGCGCTGAGCTGGGATCAGCGCTTTAGCACAGTGAATGGGCCCTCAATGTTCAAGTATACAGGAAACACGCAAACGCAATCATTTCATCTCCTGTCACTACTACGAATGCCTTGAAAACACAGTCATACCAAACAGCATGCTTTATACAGTAAGTGTAAAGTAGATGATGAACACAAACCTGCATGTACTACTCTTCTGCATGATGTCAGCTCTGTGGTATCCAGAAAGTTTACAGAAACCATCATTACTATACACTACAGGCCAGTCCACAATCTGTGCATTCCCCAGCAAGAAACTTGATTCTATAAAGAAAAAGAAAAAAATAAAACAAGTATAAATACAATGTATTTAACAGGAACATACACAATAGAATAATTTATAGTACCAAAAGTGGAGATGAACCTTTTATGGTCCAGCGTACACTATCGAGCTGCAGAAACGCAAATTCTGTGTGTTGGTGCACTAGGGTACCATTCATTTTCAATGGCATCCCAATGCAGCACAGCAATGCACCTGGACTGCAGCACTGCATTCCCAAATAGGTCAGGTGTGGTTTGCTGGTGTTGGGATACGTTGGCTTTGACATAACGTGCACAGCCCAAAAATATATTCCAGTTGGTAGAGAAAATATATTTATCTGGTTTTAATGGCCAATGCTAACCTATAAAACCTTACCTGTTTTAATGCAGACAGTCCTTTGTTCTGTCATGGTCTCCAGTACAATATGAGGTTTACCCTAACTACTGAGATCCTCATTCTCTAAGTGCACAATTATTACCGTATACCGTAGGGCGTTTCAAGTAGACCTCTGTCACTACTCTCTCCTCCTATCAGCATGCTTCTTGTCAGCACATGAACTGACACTCCAGCCCTGTTGTAGAGAGACTGCCAGACACTGCTACCTGGTCCAATTCAGGTACTTACACTGCTCGTATTTAAAAATTTCACTGAATGGTGTATTGAGTTTAGAGCGGCATTAATTTGTTTCTTTTACATCTGCCTAGAGTTTAGCTTTAACTTGTTAAATCTTTTAATAAATGTTAGTGGCTGGATTTACACTTTCTTAAACTGATTACATTTAGAGACATCAACAACTCCTTCTTATATAGGAATAAACACAAACACTACCTGGAGCAATACGTGAAAGCTTCATAGTACAAGTTACTGGGGGGAAAAAAACTTTAAACAATATTTTACTGAGATGATTCACCTACAGAATCTCAGATCCTCTGCCCAGTATTGATATCACTTAAAGTTCGGACGTGTTTGCCGACTTTGCAGGCAATAATCGTTCTGAATAACCACATGAATAAGACCAAGCTTAAAATAAGGCACAAAAACCAATCAAAGCAGAAACATCAAACAGAACAAAAAAAATTATTTAGGGATTAATTCTGCTTTTCCTAACAGAAAAACATAGAAAACATAGTGGAATGTGATAACTATAAATAGGAAGGTAATCCAGATTCTGTGAGAAGTAGTAAAAAAAAGTAAAAATATTAAAGTAAAAATAAAACAATAATTAACAACTCTTTGAAAATGTTTTTAATACCTAAGCTATTTACTTGTTATTTTCAAAGTCCTGCACTTTAAAGCACATTTGCTAGAAGGGAGTTAAAGTGACATTAAACCCTCAGATTTTTTAACATACACTAATACTGTAATGTGTGCCTTACTGTAATCCATGGTAGTTTCCCTTCTCTTTGCTGCTCTTCCTTTTAAATCCTCATGTCTTATCATGCTTGGGGAGAACTTCCCTTTGCAGCTCAGGGCCTCTTCCTGTAGTGCTGGCTCAGGTTACAAACCTATACACAGACACCATATATCCATTCCTGAGACAAGGCAGTCTGCTGCAAAACAGAAGTTCTGCCCAGCATGAGAAGAGATACAGATTTAAAAGGAAGAGCAGCAAAGAGAAGGGAAACAACCATGGATCACAGTAAGGCACACATTACACTATTGTTTTATGTAAAAAAAATCTGAGGGTTTAATGTCACTTTAAATTAATATTTTTTTGCCCAAACAGGATTTTATTAATATCACTCAAAATGTGACTCAGGTGTGTTCTGACTTTGAAGGAGGTCATTTGTTCAGCTGTGAAGGGCTAGAAGGTGGCTGGAGGTGGTCACATGACAATGCAGTATTGTTTAAATTCCATTTTGTCAAAGCTTAATTTTTTTATTTTCGTTAAAAATGGCCGCCCTCTGAATCCTAGGTCATATGAACACTTCTATATAACTATAATAATAGGTCAATTCTATTTTTTTTAAATGATCCTGGGGAAAACACTTTAGTTCACTTTAACATATCCCTCCCCAACTGTACATACTTGCACCATCCTACTTCCCTGATGCTCTGTTCAGCCTCTAGAAGTGAAAGGCAAGTCCTGGGTAGGGTACAAGTTGCTGGAGTCATAGCATACACAGAGCTATGGACTCTCCATGTGGCAGCACTGATTGGTCCAGAGATACAAGCTCCTTCATATCGGGCACCACAAAAACATAAATATTTAATACATGACAACTGATTTCCAGAGCACTATGCATTATCCAAAGAGAACCCACAGCAGTAGATGCCTGCCTTTTGGCTAATGTCTGATGAAACCCTAAATGCAGTAACCCAATATGGATGAGCTACTGCTCTGACTTTATGTAAATTTTAGCTTGAGCTATTGAGCTCTGTAAGCATTGGGGATTTTACAAGTGGCAAGCAGATAGAGCAAACCATCTGCAAAGGAATATTGTGCTCCTCTGCTCAAAAAAATAAGAATTTCATGATCACCAGACTAAGAGGAAAAAAAGTAATGGATTTTTATTAATTTATTATTATTCCTGACCATAAATTAAGAAAATAAACACAAAACCACTATACATTCCATTATAGAATGCACGTACTTTTGACTGTTTTTCAAGCAATCAAAGCAACCAATCAGAATTCATTTTTCACTTTTTGCACTAAGTTTTGTGAAAGGTGAATCTGTTTCCCATGGTTTATTCACTTCTGATTTGCATAGCTTTATGTAATACACCCGTACATATCTCACAAACAAGTGTTCCGTGTCAGTCATCAGTGTACTCCTGTACTTTACACCTTTATATTGATTTCAACCCCTTTTTTGTTTTTATTTATAATCTTATGCTTGACAAGAATAGACATTGATGTGACGTTGGCTTGCGTGTGAGGACTACCGGGACAGAGGCGATGCTCCTAAAGTGGATCTGACAAATGGCTACGTGGCCGAGAACAAATTAGCAGTGCTTGCTGCAAGTGCACTTTCCCTGGTTTAACGAACGTGTCAAGTTATTGATTTCAGTGAAGTTCATTCTGTGAGGAACTCTACAGCGTGCCTCGGTCATTCTGAAGAACAGTCCTCAAGTGTTTTTGGCACAGAGCAAATAGAGAACACTTGAAGGTACAAAGGGATTAGAAGTACAATTTACCAGGTTGTCTACTCCAATGAAGATACGTCAACACTATTTCTTAGATATTTCTTTATTGATAAAACACAATATAAGGAACAGTGGGATGTTACTAAACATCTACATGACATGTATCATTGTATTACAGCTTCATTGGAAAGACAAAATTCATATCAGTACAGCGTTGCATGACGGAATTAATGTCAGTCAAAGTACCGCAACGCTGAATACTGAAAAATGGCCAGGCCAGGAAGGGGGTCTAAACACCTGTCAGCAAGTGGTTAATCCAGCACAGTTGCATGTGGCTCTGCACACACAGCCATGTCATCCATCCCTAGACCCTTTGACAGGCTCCGTTAATGGTGAAAATACAAGTCCTGTCCTGGAATGTCAGTACCTCAGTATGGATAGGGACGGGAGGAACAGTCTGTAGGAGCCAGAGCACTGCACTTGCGGTTGCAGTGCAACCAATTCAAAATGCTCCAATGCAAGAAATAATAAAATGCAGGGTTTTTTTTTTCTTTTATGAATATGTGTACTTTTTTTTTTTTTTTTTTAATGGTGGACTTTACCTGTAAGAAGGAGTGGATGATTTGCCGGCGATACATACTCTTGCTTTAATTCTAATAGAACCACATCATTGCAGCTCTGTATTCATGAATACATTGCTAAATGTTTTTCTTTTTAATGTGAGCAGGGAGGTTACTATAACAGTACAAAAACACAGAAAATCCCCAGCCCCCCTACCAGCTAGCCTGCAACCAAACAAATAGCCCTGTCAACAGTATGCGTTAAAATCAGAGGTTTTAGTTGCACAAACTTTTGGCCAAAAATATGTAGAAGCCACACCGCCGCGCCAAGGCACCTCTGCACGGTGTGGTCCTAACTCTATGTATACGAGTCTCCAAGTGTGAGCATATTAATGCAGTCGATAAATTGCATGCAGGTGTACCAGGAGGTAGCCAACTCCTCCTAATAAAGGTGCAGGGACGCACTGGAGGCCCAGCAACCAAAAATGCACAGCATGTGGTAATCAGCCGAATGATCAGACAGAGAATAACTGTAAAGGTGCCCACACACCTTGCGATAATCATACGATAAACGTGGGAAATGCCGCGATCGTACGATTATCGCATGGTGTGTGGAAGGCGTGTGACCGTTTCTACTGTATGGTCGCACAACTTTTATCTTAGGAACATGTTCGAAAACCCGCCGAGAATCGTACGTATGTGTGGCATGTTCGTAAGATAAATGCCGCATGGGCCGGTGTGCGCAAGCGCACACTGCCTGTTCAGCATTGCGGTCATTGGAAGCCCGCCCCTCAGCGGGGGGGATGGGGCAGATTGTACGTTTTTTAATTACCTTACAACCAATCGCAAGACAAAAGTCTTGCGATGGTTGTAAGGTCTGTGGCCAGCATAACTTGCAATTTACTAAACAGGTGCAAATAATCAGTATTGCAAAACAGAATGGCATAAAACATGCATGCACTGCAGAATAGTACAAACAGATTATGAAGGCTCCACAAACTGGACTCTTCACAGCAATGTCTGTGTACCTCAATTAGGGTAACACGTGTCTCCATACCATAGTCTCTATAACACTTTATAATAACAGAGAGTCTAGCTGAGTATCATTCCTACAGTAAACCAGTTGCGATTATCCTCAAACAGCATCCCTTGCAGTAAAGTCCAGGGTGGTCCTTGTTGTTGGAAATGCAACAACATGTGCTAATATGCACTGATTGTATTACTGACATTCTGATGTACTGTTATGTCTTTTGAGGCTGTAGATGGTGCTGCAGTGCAAGTCTAATTAATGCTAGCTTTCTATATGCATGCTTATATCTATGATATACAGGAAGTTCTCTATATGTGTATGCT